CCCCCCCATCCCTCCCCCCTGACACACACATGCAACTCCTACCAAAACGCCACCCTTCATGGCAGCGCCGCTCATCCCGCTATCCTGCTAGATGGTGCTGTCGCCCCTTCTGTAGCACCACTCTGTGGAGGCGCTTTATTCCTTCACACCAGTAGATGGCGGTAGTCGTCCACAAGGTGCACTACCCCCCCCCCATACCCCATCTAGTTTCACTTTCCTGGGAGCGGGTACCTGCCAACATATCTGCGGCTACGGTCCCAGTCTCTCTGGAGCCAATGCCAGAGAAGCCGATGGTTTTACATCAAAGAACAAGAATTGGCAGCTGATGATTTAAATTTGGTTAAAGCATTCCCTGTATTTTACCACCCCAACAATCGTCCCATTTGGGAACCTATTCATCTCTAGTTCTTAAGGACACAAAAAAAGCTATTACAGATTATGGACTGAGGTCACCTTACGTAATAGGGGTATTAAGTTCAATTTTCACTGCATACACTTTTTACACTAAATGATATAAAAGAATTGGTAAATGCATTTTTCACTAACATACAGGCAACACTTTTCTTAGATGAATGGCAAGGTCGCATTTGGCAACATGCAGAGTAAGCCTTCACCAACACAGGTACCGCAGTCCTGGAGTCCTTTAATAGGCTCTATGGGATGAGGCCTTATATTTCCAATCAGGCTCAAGCCAGAATTCCTATGAATGAATTGGACACTTCAAAGAATCTGGCTTTTCAAGTGATTCAAGCTGTCGCTGAGGCAGCGGAGCCAACATCCTTATACACCTAGGTACAACAAAGACCAAGAGAGCCATTTATAGACTTTGCAGAAAGGTTAAAGAAAGCTATTGCAAAACAAATTAAACACCAAGAAGCTCAAGATGTGCTATTTCTAAGATTGGCTACAGAGCAATCTAATTATGGTTGCCAATAAATATTAAGGACTCTTAAAGGTCCCACTCCAATGGACATGGTTAAGGCATACCGCAAAGTAAGATCCGGAAATTACAACAAATCTCTCCTAGCCAAAGTCCTGGCAGTGCAGAAGGAAGCTACCTGTCACCATTGCAAACAACCTGGACATTTTAAGAAAGATTGCCCTCAGCTGAAAACAAGAGCACCTACAGTACCTCCCAGCTTGTGTCCCCGATGCAAAAAGGGATTGCACTGGGCAAGTGACTGTAGATCACTCTTTGACAGAGAGGGCAGGCTGCTCTCACCGAAAGCTGTGCAAAAACTAGCTTCAATTCCGGGAAACGGGGAGCCGAGTGCGAGAGGCAGCGCTATGACAAAAAATGCCCCACAAGCCAACCACACCGAGCTGCTCCCCTCGATCCCGGATGGAGAACCAGAGCAGCCATCCCTAGGGTGGAGCTGGCATCTCCCCACCAATTCACAATAAACAATGACAACTACCAGACAGCTCTCCTGAAGCCAACAACTAACCTACCAGTACCTGCTGGAAAATACATTCTAACAGGGACTGCTACGTCCACTGATACAGGGTTAGCAGTTGTCCCACAATTGATAACTGTAGACAACCCGAAAGTAGTAGAAGTGACTGTCAAAGTTCTGTTTCTACCCATGGAGCTGGAGACAAATACACTTATTGCCAACCTAACCCCCACTGATGTGGGAGGAAACACTTTGGACTCTATGCCTTTGGTCCAATGGTCACAATCAATTTGACTTGATCACCCAGTACTAACCTGTGCTGTATTCTTTCCCAATACTAACGCATGTGTTCAAGTTAAAGGTCTCATAGACACAGGAGCAGATGTCACAATCTTTGCTGAAGGCGACTGGTCAAAAGAATGGAACATGACACAGCCCTGCATTGGCATCAAAGGGGTAGGAGGAGCCCAGGCACCACTCCAAAGTGTTTGCACTTTACTGATTGAAGGACTTGAAGGTAAAACAGCCTCTACAAGCCCTTATGTCCTTAATATTTCAATGACCCTCTAGGGGAGAGATATTATAGTGCAATGGGGAATCCGTTTAACCACATCAAATTTATCCTAAAGGCCACTGGTCTCCCGCCCTCACATGGCTCTTGGATGAGCCACGCTGGGTATCCCAGTGGCCTCTAAAGGGAGAGAAATTGCAACAAGTCAACCTCCTGGTAGATGAACAATTAGAAAAAGGACACCTTGTACCAACTGATAGTCCCCGGAATTTCCCCATCTTTGCCATACAAAAGTCAAATGGAAAATGGAGATTACTACAGGACTTAAGAGAACTCAATAAAATCATAGAGCCCATGGGAGCTCTCCAGCCCAGACTCCCATCACCAACAGTAATACCTGCAGAATGGCCTATTGTTATTATAGATATCAAAGACTGCTTCTTTAACATTGCCTTAAACCTTAAAGACTCTTGTAGGTTTGCGTTTACAGTGCCTTCCATCAGCGCAGCAGAACCATCTCGATGTTATCACTGGACAGTCCTTCCTCAAGGGATGAGAAACAGTGTGCCAAAGAGTCGTTGCCAAAGAGTTGTTGCAGACGTCTTATCACCAATCTGTCGACAGTTTCCAAATACCATTCTGTACCACTATATGGATGACATCCTTCTGGCAGTGGAGTCCGAGGGACAGCTCACGCAAGTACATTTGTCTGTGAAAGCTGCACTATTGAAACATGGCCTTGAGATTGCACCAGGAAAAGAACAAGTGACAGTTACATGGAAGTACCTTGGATTTCAAATTAATAACACCACTGTTCAACCTCAGACTGTAGCTTTACCCACCAACATCCACACCTTGAATGACTTACAATCTTTACTAGGTTTAATTAATTGGATTAGGCCTCTCTTAGGTATAACAACAGATGTCCTGAAACCACTATTTCAACTCCTGAAAGTGGAGGCAGATTTGACATCCCCTTGACGCTTAACACCGGAAGCCCTGGAGGTGTTGCAGGAGATAAATCAAAGTCTGAGTTCATGTCAGACTAAGTGAAAAGTGTGTGGCTTACCTGTTGTGTTAGTAATTTTCAAAGGCATCAAACAACTCTATGCTGTATTAGGACAATTAGATGTAAAACACAAGGACTTTCTGTTATGGGAATGGGTTTTTCTAAGTTTTCAGTTTTCTAAATCTGTTACTACATATCCTGAGATGCTCTCCAAGGTGTGCCACAAAAGCAGACTGCAGCTTTGGGAGCTCTTGGGAAGGGACCCAGATGTCATCTATGTTCCTCTGTCTACTGTTCAACTAACTCAGTTGTTAATTCATGGTACTGACTTTCAGTTAGCCATTGCTGATTTTAAGGGTCAATTTTCAGTGCACCTCCCATCTATCCCCTTTTTACAGCTACTAACCCTTACCCAACCAGAGCTAACAAATAATTATTCACCTGTCCCACTAACAAGTGCTAGAACTGTTTTCACAGATGGTTCTGGCAAGACATCTAACGCAGTAGTCATGTAGCAAAAAGCAGGAAAGTGGGTATTTGACACGCACAAGGTAAGAGGTTCCTCTCAGATAGCGGAGCTCTCTGCAGTCATACGTGCATTTCAACTGTTTCCAGAGCCTTTGAACATTGTTTTCGATTTGGCCTATGTCATTGGGGTAGTCCAACAAATTGAAAATTCTTACATAAAGGATCTCTCCCAATTACAATTAGCTCACATGTTCAAATCATTACTCTATGAAATTAGTCATCGCAAACACAAATTCCACATAATCCACATTCATTCTCACACTTCTCTTCCAGGGCCCATCGCAGCAGAAAATCATGTCGCAGATCAAATAGCTGACACAGGGCACCTGGCACAAACTGCAGTGGTTCCAAATAATTTTGAAAAAGCAAAGCTGTCTCACAGCTTTTTTCACCAGAATACAAAATCCCTCACAAAAACATTCCAACTCACACTGTCTCAAGCTAGAGCAATTATTTCTGTGTGCCCAGATTGCCAAAGACTCACTTCTCTACCATCTGAGGGAGTAAACCCCCATGGAATTAATCCACTTGACATCTGGCAGTCGGACATAACACATTATTCACCATCTGGAAAGTTAAAATACATCCATGTATCTATTGACACATGTTCTGGTGCCATTGCTGCAACAGCACATCAGGAGAAAAGGCACTTGATGTCAAAAAACACTTCATGTCTGCAATATCAATCCTTGGCATCCCCAAAACTATTAAAATCAATAACACCTCTCAATCGTTGAAAGAGTTTTTCAACATGTGGGGAATTTCACATGTTACAGGGATCCCCCACTCTCCCACTGGTCAAGCCGTGGTAGAACACGCCCATCAGACACTCAAAAATATGTTAACCAAACAATAAAACACCACAATTGGACTCATACCACAAGAAAAATTAAATAAGGCCTTATGTGTTATTAACTTCTTAAATAGGTTAGACCAGGGCACCTCACCCATAGAAAGACACTGTAATGTGCACTGAAACCAAATCTGTACTGATGCCAGGGTTACTTATAAAGATGTTATAGCAGGTGAATGAGTCAGCCCTGTTCCCCTTATCACCTAGGGGAGGGGGCATGCTTGTGTTTCCACAGATTCCAGTCCCAAGTGGGTTCCATCTCACCTGTTGAAATTTTACAACAGTGACTAGATACCACCATGATCTCCGTCATCATCATCATCCTAATCCATCCTGTCATCACATCAGATCAGTCTTCTCCCACAACTCCTCCTCTTCCAGATTGAGTTGCCACTAACCCTGGAAACGTGGTCTTCTTTAGCTAAGTCTTTAAATGTCGATTCCTTGTGCTTCTCAGTCTCAGATTCCTCTAACCCATTAAAAACATATTTGGTTGCGATCCCCTGGTCCTCTCAAAAATGGACAGGATTCCGAAATCAATACTCCCTTTTGTGCAATGATCCTGACAAAAATAAAAACCGAAGTGTGTCCTGCTTCCCCCAACCCCCAAAGGCCAAAACAGATCCTCAATATTTCAACAGTTATCCTGAAGAATTACAGATTTTAGATACCCCTCCCCTCAGCCCACTGTTTCTATTTTAATATAAAAACAGAAGAAAGAAGTAAACATCAGCTTAATGTAACATCTGATGGAGTCTATTCTAGCTTTGAGTTCTGATGCAAGGAAAAAACTGAATCCCCCCCACTATCCATTGCCCTCCCCAAGGGGGTGTTCCTTATCTGTGGACTTCGGGTATGGAAATCAATCCCTAAAGAGGTGGTCAGGGGACCTTGTACCTTTGGTCAATTATCACTTTATAATCCCGCAAAGGTAATCCATTCCCTAGCTATTAACCCTCCGAAAACAATCACAAAACATGATATCACCGTCCACCCTGAAAAGCTGGACTCGCATTCCAGCGACTTAAAGAGAGTGGAAAACCATTCATGGAAGGACCAGTCATCACAAACATAGCCCCTCAACAAGCCCCTCACCCTATAGCTCAGCAACATCCCCTTTTGAAATCTTAAAATTTGCAACAATTCACCGAAGATTGTGACTCCAACCTTCACATAGCAAGGATGGCAGCATAATAATTCCAGCCATTGGCACAACACATGCCCTAGACCTGCTTACAAAAATAGGATGTTGGTTAGCCAAGGAGGCAAATGCAACTAGTGCAGCACTAGAAGACCTGTTACTGGATTCCCAACAAATTTAAGAAAGCCACTTTACAGAATAGAGCAGCCATTGATTTTCGGTTGCTGGTTAATGGACATGGCTGCGATGAATTTGAGTGGCTGTGCTGTCTAAATTTTTCTGACCATTCCCAATCCATCCACTCCCACATAAATGAACTTCATTCCCTCATTCAACAAATCCTAAAATCAGATGAGGTTCATATGGGACAATATGTTTGATTGGCTTTCCCTGAAGGGACTCTCACTGCCCCTGAAAAAATTCTCATTATTTTTCCTTTAGGCCTGTTTGTGCTAGCAATCCTTCTTCGAATTCTCCTGTGCATAGCTAAATGTTTCCAGCGTCTTGTGATGCACAGTGCTACCCAAGTTTATGTTTCATTAATAAATAAAAATGGAGGAATTGTGGGAGAATACAGAGATTATGAGTCATGGAAAGAACGCCTATAGGAACGGGTCCCTCATGGTGGCAGCTCTCTGGGATCGAGCGGAGTGGAAAGGCATCGATTACTTGTGTTTTTATTGTACGATTCTGCCCCGAATTCTGTAATTCCCTTTACCTACACGGTTTCCCTGTACAGCGCCATGTTCTCTCCCCTCCCCGAACCAGTCCTCGCCCCTGCACAAGCATTATTGGTCGTCTCATCTGTCTCTCCCCAGTCCCTGGTTTGTTATTGGACTTTGGTCCTCCTGTATCCCCCACTGGCTAGCAGAGCCCTCAAGCCACTCCCTTTCCCCCGAACCCTTGCCCAATCACGTTCCCCTTTCTATACCCTCCCCCAGAGACTTTAAAAGCCCGCGGGATTTTGAATAAACTGCTTTTTGCCACTGGAATCCAGAGAAGAAACCTCGTGGTCCTTTCCTCCTGGCAAAGGGGGATCGCGCCACAGGGACCCTCTCTGAGAAGCAGCAAGTGAGGAGTCAACTAGCAATCAACTCTGTTAGCTCTGGAGGTCCTTAATTTCCCATAAATGTATTTTCTTCTGGCCTATTCTGAAAAGAGAGGCTTGCCTGTCCTCCAGCTATAAAAAAGACTATCTACCTTCTTGGGAAATTTATTTGTTAATTTTGTACTAGAATTTATCTCCTGTGTCTCCTGTGTTTGACCTATTGATTTCCTACCCCAATAAGTAGTACTCTCTTTAAGTTGCCCCTTGATCCTGTGTGTTTGTGCAGTCTCTGCCATCAAACTTTATTTCATTTATATCTGTACAATAACAAATGTAGGAAATGTCTCTGTTTAGAAATATCTAAATTTGATAAATGCCTATACTTCATTCCCAGCACTGGACCAGGACCATAAATAACAATACTGACTTAGACAAATTGATCTATATAAACTGATGTTCTAAATTTTTATTTTAAGTCCCAGGGAGAGCTTAGAAAATACCTGTCTTCCTCTCTTCTGGTTATGCAGGATGGCTGCTATTCATATCATCACTTCTATAAGCACAAAAAAATTTGTGGGAAAAAAATCTCTCCTAGGAGACATCAGTGCCCATGGATACTATGAAAATAAGACATATAACAAAGGAATGTATTCCATATACCCTCCTTTTGGGAAAAGTATGATACAACTGAATTGTACTAAAGTCCGGTGAGATCTATAAATATTGACCCATGTCTTTAATTACTGAGTGACACTTTTTTCTATCTTGTGGTAAGAAAAAAGGATGGGAAACTGTACATTACAAAAAGACAGAAAATTAGGAACATTGTTCTGATTTAAGAAACAATCTTATTACTGGATGGATAGGAATTACTGTAATGGGTAAGTTAAAGGAACAATCATAAAAACCTTGAGGCTTTCCAGCCAGCAGCTCCACCACTGTCTTTGGTCTGATATTTGGCTTTGCACTGGATGCAAGCTGAGCATATGGTTTCTCTCATCTGAATTTTGGTTTGCTACATCTGTCTGTCATCCTCAGAATTTGTCTTTCAGTGACTTGGTCGTATTTTCCAGACTCTTTCTCCATTGGCTGACTAGAAAACGGTTGTTTTTATAATTCTTAAACTACTTGATCTTGACTAAACAGGGAATAACCAAGAGGACGTTTGTAAGTGCAGCCTCACATTAGTGTTTTTGCAATGTGGCAGCTGTTGCATATTAGAACTCGTCATCTTTAAAACGTACTGGCGACTGCTGAAATGTGTACACACTGTTGGCGTTTGAGGCGTGCTACATATTCCCAGTGCAGTGTAGAGATGTGTTGGCAGGCAGCATGCTGGTGTTACCTGGCAGACAGATCCTGGCCCCAGTGCTGCGAGCAGCACAGCTCCCTCACTTGCTGATATTCTCTACTGTGTAAAGGAACAGCCTGATCTGAAAATGTTTCATCCATTTATTGATCACTGCACAAAAGGTACATGAGAGCGAACAGAAGCCTTTGACAGAGGTGAAGGAATCTGCAGACAATAAAAGGTGATTTCAGTGTAATAAAAAGAAGCTGAAATGTAACTGCTCTCTAAGGTCTTTCTCTTCCAAAGGCTGATCTCTTTATCTAAAGAAACAGAAGCAGGCTGAGAATAACTTATTTCACTGTCCCAATAGTTTTGTATCACAACACAAAATTCAGCCATCTGCTGAATTGTGAAAGTCACTAGCAGAAGAAATGGGCTTTAGTTAGATTCCCTGCTTCCCTCAGTTCACAGCAGCCAT